GATCACATAAATAATTTCCAACACAGCAGTTTCAGTATTTGGGACTTCGGATGGGGCAGGTCTACCCCGTGACAGACATCTGCAAGAGAGGTAGAGATGTGAGCCCAGTGCACAGGCAGCCAGGTAGCAGTGGCTGGGCTGTGAGAATGAGAGCAGCCATCAGGGTGAGGTTAGTTCTGCTACCTGTGGGACACACACTGCTGCTGCCCTACTTCAATTTCCAGTTAAATTGGTACTTAATGCCAACAGCCACAGGTTTGTAGCAAAGATGGCAGAACTATCAGTAGGAAGAAAGGGTAGGGATAAGGAATAGATAAAAATGTGAGGAAAAGAACTAAGTAGATCACTTCTCTTTCAAACTGTCGCTGTGTCAGGAAAAATGCAGGCATTTCCATTCCGGAGATGGGGAAACAGAAAGCAGAGCCCCGAGAACAGGCCTGTGGCCAACTCAGAACCAGACATCCAGAATGCCCAGCACTGCCAAGGATGCTGATCAGCTGAGAAGCACAGATCCCAAAGCAAAGATCCCTGAACATCTCTGCTAATAATCCCATATCACAGCATTATCCTCATTAAAGTGTTTGAGACTGAGACTACAAAGTCATTCAAACACCAAAAGCTGATGTTCTGCAAGAAGCAGATGTGATCTGCACAACTGCTCAAGCACAATTCCAGGGGGGACAGTCCAGCCAGCAGCAAAGCAGTGTGCCACACAGTGCACAACACCGTGCACCTGCAGGTGGTGGTGGGAGAGAAGGTGGGATGTGGCAGGAAAGGGAAAGTCCTTCCTTTGGAAGCGGTGCAGAATGCAAATATTTAACAAAGCTACAATCAGAAGCCAAGAAGTAACACTTAGAACAACACAAAGGAAGGACTGCAATGCTCACAAAAAGAATGCTCAGTATTCCTTAAGTTTGGTTTTTTTTCTTAAAGCTCATTTTAGGAAGAAAAGCAGTAAGAGAAGGGACTGGGGGAATTCCTGGAACTACTGACTTCAATACTAGTAGCAGTTCAGCAGTGCTGAATGTTTGGAGAGGGCTGATGCACACCAAGGCACAACAGCCTGAGTTCCAAGCACATGCAGCAGTGGTTCTGCTGGCTGGCATGCACAGGGGACACAGCTTTCAGAGTAAAGCTCAGTGCAGAAGACATACTGGGGAACAGGAGCACTGGATCTCAAAGTTCTGCACTTCCATATCTTTTGCTCCTGTCACTGATCAATGGTAGCTCCCAGGAAACCCTCATATCCGTGTCACCCAGCCAGAGACGTTCATTTCACCTTGGCCATCACTGCCTTACACAGACCTTCACGTTTGAGTAACCTGCTACTGGTAATTCTGTCTATAATTTGTCCTGTAAGGTGCTTAAGCCACCACCTCTCCCTCTCCCCACCAAACCCACCTGCTGAACAGCGATGCATCTGATCCGATCCCAGCCAGGAAAAAAAACAGCAGGTTTTTACAAAGACACAAACACCTGAGCTACGGAAACTGGTTCAGACCCAGACAGTGTTCTCGGTTTCTCTGTCTCTTCTACAGTGCTCTGGGAACTGTGGTGTTATTTGGGCCATGGTATATAAAACAGAAAAGCTCCATCCAAATGATAACGAGAACGAAGAAGGAGTGTGTGATCTGTGAATGCAGTACAAAAGCACCTATGTTTCAAAACATGATGTTCCATGAAGTGGCTGCTGCCAAAGGCTGTTAGTGGCCTTTGCTCTTATCAGAAATCTAAAACCTTCTATCCTGCAACTTTCTTCCTTTTGAAAACTTACTCGAGTGGGAGGGACACCAGCAACACAAACCTGTTGATGGGGCTGTCCAGTTACGATATATACCTGACAGCCACAAAGCTGGCACAGTCTGGCCTGCTCTGAACCCCCCAGTCAGGCACCGAGTGCCATGTGATAAGGCCCCATCCTGGCCACATGCTGCCACTTTTATTGGCAAGCAACCCGAAGCATTCTCAGCACATTAAATGTATTTCTGCTAGGGAAACAATGTTAAACAAATATCTTAAGTGAGACAAAGGGACATGGCTTCCTTTCAGTGGTCTGATCTGGACAGGACTAGGGGAAACAGCCATAAACTGGAGTATAGGAAGCTCTGCACCAATACGTGAAAGAATTCCTTCACAGTGAGGGTGACAGAGCACTGGAACAGGCTGCACAGGGAGGTTGTGGAGTCTCCTTCTCTGGAGATATTCAAGACCCACCTGGATGCTGAGCTGTGCAGCCTGCTGTAAGGGGCCTGCTTGCAATGGGGGATGATCTCCAAAGGGTCCCTTCTTACCCCTACAATTTTGTGAATTCAGTTCACAATAATGGACTGTAAAAGCACAGAAACATTTCTGTAGAACCACTCATAATAGCATCCTTTGGATTAGAGTTACGGGGAAAAGGAAGAGTTGTAAAGATCTGTATTAAAGATGGCTACAACATGCATTCCACAACCCTCTGTTCATTTTCATGTATTTCCTAATGAAGGCACACTGCTAGCACTGGGATACGCAGCTCTGCCCTTCCCTTAGCAATGGCTTGTCGTGCCAACCTTTGCCAGCCTCAGCTCAGAACCCTCCCTATTTCCCAGAGCTGTGGCTAGGAGGGTGCTTCAAAACTCTTTCATAACCCTGCCTGTATCTTCTACAACCGTTATATAACAGTGATACTGGGAAGAGAGAGTTACTATGGAGATTGGAAAGCTTCCCTTACAGCAGGACAGAAAGATGCAGCTTTATTCCCGATACAACAGCAATAATTAGAACACAGATCCTGACAAGGCAGTGCTCAAAACAGAAAGCTTCTCCAAAGGCTTTTGCTAATGAGACAAAAAACAACAAAGCTCAGCTGTTTGTGATTTTAGTCCTGCTGTATAAATGACAAGCAGGTAGGCATGCACACAGGTTAGGTGACGACACAGTTAGTCACCACCCAGCAAAGGGCTGTCCTCTTCTGCTGCTGTGCCAGCAGGATGCAGCTGATCTGTACAGCACAAACACTCACAGTCTGGAACACCAGCTCCCTTCTCTTACATAATTCACAAGCTGATAGAAGCTACCCGAGCTCACCCATGTAGCACTGAAGCACATGGATGTGCTCTGCTCTGTGGGCACTGCTACAACTCTGCAGAGATGGACAGACCTCAGGCAGGAGATCTCCAGGTATGCGTCTGATGGTGCAGTGCTGTGTGTCAGGGTACAACAGTTGCAGCCTCACTACTCATCTGTCAGCAGAAACAATGTGCTTCTGCTCATATTTATGACTGCTTGCTAAGTTGCTGCTTTCCTAAATTAAACACTGTCGGCATATCTAACAGATGTGCTCTGGTTAAATGCACCAAATGCTTTCCCCAGTAAAGCTGTGAGCTCCTGAAATCTCTCAGTTCAAAAACACACTCAAGGGTGAACACACTAAAAAAAGAAGAAAAAAAAACAAAAACTCAACCCAAGCCCAGCCCTGCTAACCTCTGCCTTCATATCTCAGATACACAAAGTCTGTTCCCCCACTGTGTGTGCGGGCACAGGAATGCTCAGCACTGTGCCCACAGAGTGGCCCTGTCTGAGCTGCCAATCTCAGCTGCCTGCAGCTGCTGCTGTGTGCCCGATCCCACACGAGTGAGCCGATGTTCACAGTGTTCCTGATCGCAGCTCTATCTTCAGCTAGGATGGTGTAACTACTTAGTGAGTCAGTGTCACTATTGTTACTTGGAGATGGATTCACATATTCGCAGTGCCTTCCTGAAGTGTATTAAGAATAACCTTTATTGAGCCCCAGGGAGAAAAACACAACTCTGAGTCTCAGTAGTGTAAGGAGAAAAGTGCTCCCTGAGAACAGAACAGCTGTATCAGGTACAGAGACAGATAACCAGAATGGCATTACCTGCCAAGGGCGCATAAAGGCAAACAGCACTCACCTGCTGCTAAGCCGCGGCAGGGCACAGACCGTTATCACACAACAACCGGAGTAAGGACACCGTGCTGCGGGAAGGGCGCCCACCCGCCCCGGGGAGTTATTTCCCCACACTCGAAGTGACATCAATCCACTCACAAAGAACCCTGCCCGGTGCCACAGGGACGCGGCCGCACCGCAACCCCCCGCACAGCGCCCGCAGCCCCCGGCCCGCCCCAGCACGGAGCCGCACGGCAGCGCGGCGATATCGGGAGCGGAGGCGGCGCCCCGGGCCGGGACTCACTGTTGTACTGGACTCCTTTGGCGAACCTCCTCTGCAGAGCCTGGTTCATGGACTGCAGCCCCGCGGGGATGTTCTTGTCTCGGACCGCCGCCTGGTCCGAGCCCACCAGCTTCTTCAGCGCCGAGAACATCGTTCCGCTCCCGCGCCTTCGCCGCCGCTCCGGGAAAAGGGCCGCCGCCGCCGCGGGCTCAGGGGCAGCGCGGCCCCGCGGGGAGCATAGGGCCGGGAGCGCTCAGTGCCGGCGCAGGGCCATGGGGGGCAGACGGGGCGCGGGGCGGCGCGGCGGGAAAGGGGCTGGGCCGGGCCCCGCCGTGTGCCGGGACGGGGCGCTAACCGGGCATGGCCCGCGCCGGGCGGCTCCTGCGGGCGGCGGCGGCGCGGGCGGTCGGGGAGCGGCTCAGCCTCACCGGGCGCCGCTCAGGGCCGGGCGCGGAGCTCCCGCCGCCGCCATCTTGCCTCTTCCGCTTCGCCGCGAGAGACGGAGCGCGCGCGGCGCCACTACGGAGGCCGCCAGGGGCCAAAAGACGGCGGGGCGCGGAGCGGCGGCGGGGGGCGGGCCTCGAGCACCACGGTGCCCACAGCCCCTGCCGCCATCGCAGCCCCTTTAGCCCTCTCCTCTAACCCCAGGGCCTCTCCGTCACACCCCACATGCCCCCGAAGTTCCCTTCTGTGACCCCCCCGGCACCCTGTGGCCCCCAAGCCCACAGCCCGTGCCCCCCTCGCCCCGCAGTCTACACCGACCCCCACATCCCCTCCCATCCCCCCTTTGCGATGCTCCTCCCTCCCCACACCCCTCGTTGTCTCCCCGCCCCGTGACCCCTCAGTCCCTGTGCCCCCACCTCCGTTTCCCAGCTGGCACCGTGGGCTCCTGCTGAGGGCCGGGTGCTGTGGGGGCTCTGAGCCGCCCGCTGCTGGGCTCCGCGTCAGAGCTCCAGGGGAGCCCGCATTGTCTGGGGGAGCAGGAGTGGAAGGCACTGAGGCACCCACACCTGTGGGATGGGCCTGGGGCTGTGCTGCGCTGAGCCTCAACACAGAGCCCCACAGTCCCAATGTGTCTCGTCCAATGTGACGGTGGTGCAGCATGGATTATTCGCCCTCAGAGAGAAGCAGATGCCTGTCCCCCCTCACTGCCCCAGGACATGGGACCTGACGCCCATCCAGCGGGATGGCAGAGCCCCCATTGGGGCGACGTGCTGGCAGAGGTCAGCGGGGCTGAGATAGGGGCAGGGGCTCAGGACAGGAGGGACCCCCCCGAGGAGGCCAGCAGTGACTCAACAGCATCTCCTGCCTCTCTTGGAGCCCCCCCGCCCAGCTCCCCGCCAGCTCTGGGATGAACAGTGGGCTCATTGGTCATGTCAGAGTCATTTATTGTTGGAGATAATTCCTGTACAGGCAGGAGCTCCTGTGAGGCCCTGGCTCCTGTGCTCAGTGTTCATCCTTCACCCTTGTCAGTTTGACAGATGCAGAAACTCCTCATCCTCTGCAAGCAGAGCAGTGTGCAGTGTGACAGACAGACCCACAGACACCATCCTCATCCCCACTCATACCCCACAAACAGGTGATGGCTGATGCTTCCTGCTTTGTCCTGATCGGCAGTGATAGGGAAAGTGGTTCAGACCCTCTGCACATACCCTTGCTGTCCTGAGATGTCACTTCATGTCCCACCATAGTGACATGATTGCACTTCAAACTGGCAGCAGGATCATAGAAAACAGATTCTGCTCCATGACCCCTTACTTTGTCCCCATATCCCACCTGCTGGGCTACCAGCTCCACTTGCCACATCAGGATCAGATTCACCCAGAGCTAACCACTCTGCAGTAAGATCTTCCCTGCTACACTGCTGAAAATGAGACTGCTTGTCCATCCATCCTGGGGGCAGAGCACTGCCTGTTGAACCTCACAAAGAGGAAACCTCTGTGCTGACTAAAGCTGGAGGGTGATCATACAATCATGGAGAGTTCATCCCAAGTGGGTTCGGTCCCTATCCAGTGTCAGGATCCCCAGTGCCTCCAAATCCTTCAGCTGCTCCTCCTGTGGACACCTCCTGTTGACACCTCCACTGCTCCCTGCCTTGCTTACAGCCTTTCCCCCTGTTATCATGAGCATTTTGAAGTATGGTCCTGGCCTTGGTGCATTTGTAGCTTATACAGTCCCTATGTGTGATGTTGTCTGTAGATTAACAATCTTTTTTTCTCAAGCCATCAGAGTCTCTGGTCCAGGATGGACCAGTCACAGCTGCAGGAAGACCCAGAACAGAGACACAGCCTCAAGCAGGATGGGATGCACAAGCAGCACCTGCCTGGTCCCCAACGCAGCAATAAGCCATACCTGCCTGCGGAGGAGCCCCGCAGTATTCCTTGCACTCCTTCTCTGAGTAGAACTTGTTCCCATTGCCCTTGCAGCCCCCATAGCTGAACTTGATGCACTTGCCCTGAGCCGCATCAAAGGCCCAGCGTATCACCGGTTTCTGGCAGGGCCCCTGGGCGATGGGCAGCCTGCAGGCAGCTGTGGGGAGAGGAGACTGTGGAAGGCTGGCAAAACCGGGATCCTGTGCTGTACACACTGGGCTTGGGGCCAGCCTCGGTTCCCTCTGCAACTCTGTGTCCCCTCGCCCTGGCGTGGCCCCATTCCCACTCACCTTCGGTCCGGCAGGCCTGCAGGCACTCCTTCTCTGAGTAGAAGTTGTTGCCGTTACCCAGGCAGCCGCCATAGAGAAAAGTCTCGCAGGCCATGGAGGAGGTGTTGTAGAAGAAGCGGGAGAGCATCCCGCTGCAGGGCCCCGGGTCTCGGTTCAGCCGGCATGCGTCTGCAGGTGAGTGCAACGTAGGTTGGAGTGGGCGATGGGGACACCCATTGCAGCCCCTCCACCAGGACCCACCTTCTTTGTTACCAACATACGTGAGCAGAGGGCCTGCAGCTGAGCCTTCCTCGGGTGGCAGCACTGCTCTCCGTGTCCTCTGCTCCGGGAGGAAACAGACAGCTGCCATCAGCCATGCCAACCCCACTTCCCTGGTACCCCCACGTATCTCCAGTCATCTGCCTGGGGTCAGCAGGCCATGGTCATTCCATGCCTCGTGGCATTCCCAGCCCCATATTCATCCCAGGCGGGGGCTAGGATCAAACATTTTGAATGACGACACTCAAAGTGCAACAGCCATGCCCTGTGCTGGGCTGAGCATGCATCTCTCCTCCCACTGATACATAGTGGTGCATCCTCCACATATTATATCTGCCCTGAACTGTGTTGTTTCTCTTATGAAGTTCCATCTCCGCTTGAAAATCCTTCCCAACTCAGCACAACGAGACTGGAACACGCTGGGGGATAGCAGCCAGAGCATCAGCAAGGCAATGAGCTGCCTCCCCCACCACAGAGGGGGATCCCTGGCCCAGCTGGAGCACTCATGGGCAGGCAAGGGGTAAGGAGACACCAGGCTCCCTGTGCAGGAATCTACCCCGTGAAAGAATCAGAACAGGAAAGAGACATTGCCTTCTACTTGGAAATGAGCCTTGGTGCCACCCAAAGCACTCAGGACTCTCAGCCTGTGTTCCATCCTAGCTGGCAAACCCCATCCCCAGCCTTGATCCATCTAAGGAGGTCCTAGCTGGATCACTCACCTCAGGTGCAGTGGCAGTCTCCTGTGGGACACATTCACCTAGCCCAGATGACAAGAGAGAAGGTCAGAAGCTTGAGAGTGGTGGCATTCCAACAAAGTCCTCTCACCATGGTCCTCCTGTACTCTTACAGGTCCTTCAGGAAGGGGCTCCCTCCTGGCTTCACTCTAACACTCTTCCACTCTTGCTGTTCTCTACCTCCAGCTCTCAGAAGTTCTGCCCTAAAATCCCCATGCCTATCTGCATCAAGCATTTGCTGTCACTCCTTGTTGAGCACTCATCACATCCTAGGAGCCCACAGCCACAGGGAGCAGCTGTGGATGTTCCTACATGGTCCTGCTTCAGATGTATGAATGGCTCCAGAACAGCCATGGTGGGGTGCATCAACCTGACAGCCTAGAAAAGATCCCACCAACTACCCTGGGTATTGCAGAAAACTGGGTGCTGGTGGAAGCCTGTCTGATTCTTAGCTTCATCCCCTTCCTTCTCCATCCCAGCAAAACCCTCATTTGTCCTCCCTCCATCCTGGCTGTCCCTTCTCCTCAGCCCTGCGTACCAAGAAGGAACAGCCTCAGCACACCATCACACTGAGGGCACAGGCAGCAGGAGAGGTGCACACCTCACATAGGTTACCTTTGTTGGCCAGGATGAAGATGGAATCTGCAGGGATGCCCATCTCCAGAGCCAGCTGCTGGAAAGCCTCAGTGAGCTCTTCCCGCAGCTCTGGGCTTCTCCCTGGGTGACAGCAAGGAAAGGACTGTCAGCTGGTGTCTGCTGCTTCCAGATCTGAGTTTCTCCCACACAGATCATGGTCATCTCAAACAATGGTCTGGTCTCAATGTTCATTGTATGATATGGCTCTAAGCTGAGCCGTAACTCAACCTCATTTGATGCTAGAGTTGACTGAAGGCACCACCTCCAGAGCCAAAGAGCAGTGTTACTGAACCCAACCCAGAGTTTGCTTGCCCACAGTGCCACAGTAGACATACCATACAGCTTCAGTGTGGTGGTTGGGCCAAAATTACTTGTTTTCTTCATCAGAATGACTGCGTATTCTTCATAGTTGGTGCGAAGCACGTAGGATTTGATAGACACATCCCACTCTGTGTGAGAAAGAGATACAAAGGACATCATTCCTACCTTTATTGAGGAACAGGTAGAAAGCAGTCCCAGAACTGGGGAGTGAAATCAAGCAGCTAATTCAAGAAACTATCAGTTTACTGGTAGGCAGCTACAGACCTGGGCACAACCTTGACCCTCTTTCACCTCACCATCCTCCTGTTAGTCAAGGAGACTGGAATCCTAGGGCTGCAGATAATGAGATACCACAACGCTCCTGAAACATGGCTGGGGGGTGCTTATTCCATCTTGGAACCCTGGGGATGGGAGGGATTTGCTGGAATACCTCATAGTCCTGTACCTGCACAGGCAGCTCTGAAGTAGCCCCCCCGAGACCTTGCTCCCTGCTTTCTTGGTTGGAAATGACCTGAACTATGGAGAATCTTCCTCTTCCTTGAGCCCTGCTGCCCTGAACCACTCTCCCAGCCTCCAGCTGTGTCATCTTCCAAGGTCTGGACCTGGTTCATATCCCCTGACTGCACAGCGGCTCTCAGGACCCAGCAGGCCAGCAGCAAGCCCAACTTACTGGGGTTATAGTAGGTGTATTTGCCAGGGGTGTCGGTTTTCTGGTACTCTCCTGAGACACGTTTGCAGTCACCTTGCCTGGAGGGAGGAGGAAAGCAATTATCTGATTGGGATGACCTCTTTTTTGTTTATCTCATTAAAATCATGCCTGGAGCACCAAAACTGGCCATGGCATAGGATCCCTGAAACCCCTGAGCACCCACAGCAATGCCCATACCGCAGCCTGGTGCTGATGGTGCTGATCTGGTCAGTGCTGGGGCCGGGGCCCAGCACCAGTGTGCCCATGCTGAACTTCTCCTTGTAATTCTTCATCCACTTGCAGGTGGTGCCAACAGCTACATCATACCATTTCCCATACATCTGTGGGGAAAAAAAGAGATGACTCCACCACAGGATCCCTCCACTGAGGTAGGGCATCCCACATCTTTCTGCAGAGCTGACATTCTCATGGCCAGGAAGTCAGTTGGTGAGCCACGGTGCAGGGTGCCAGGGCAAGAGCTGCTGAAGGAAAGCGATCAGCGCTCAGTAGGATTTCCGGCTCCATGGTCACCCATCTCATGTGGCTTCCCAGGCTTTTGAGCTTGGATCTAAACAGTCTGAGGAGCAAGATGGACTCTTGTTCCCATGGATGCTCACACTAGCAGAGCTCTTTCTCCTGCTCTCTGCTATGGGGTTTCTTGCATAGGGGCTAGGCAGTCCTTTGGGAACTGAGAGAGGTCCCAAGCTCAGGACAGTGTCCCTGTGTCCTCCACCCACCAGGCAGGGTCTCATACTTGCTGTGTGCCCCAGGAGAGCCCAGACCCATGCTGCTGGGTGTGCACAGCCAGGAAGGGTGCCTGCTGGAGACCCACAGGCCCACTCCCAGGCAGGATGCATCCCGCACACATTCTACATCTCCCCACAGCTCAGGCTGGGCTGATGAACAGGCTGGGACTCATTTGCCCCATCCATGTGTTTGCTGGGGTGAGGCCATCCCAAGAGCTGGGTCCCCATGACTGGCATCAAGGGAGGCCTGCCCCGCACAGCCCATTATGAGAAATATCATCATCCTTTTGGGAGGAAAGTAAAATAAAACTTCCCCCCATCCTTTCTGCCCCCAGATTCCAGGGACCGCCAAGCCACTTTACCCGCTCAGGCTCAAAATTCTCCTGCACTTGGATGTCCTCATCCTGGTCACCAATGGGCGTCCCGCTGGCCACAGCGAAGAGGAGGAGGGAAAGAAGACCCCAAAACATCATGCCTGGCAACTTCAGAATGCTACTGAACAGGATCGGGGACTCTGCACTGTCCCCACTGCGCAGCAGCATGACCTTCAGACCACAGAGAGCAGGGCTGCTGGAGCAGCCAACCTGGGAAGGGCCAGGCAGGGAGGCGTGGGTGCAGCTCCTGGTCCCACACGCCTGGCCATATGGCCTGAGTTCACCATGGCCTGTGGGGCACAGGGGCAAGCATCCTTCTGAGCTCTCTCTTCACCTGTTCCAGACGTGGGCCAGCACCTGCCGGTCTGCCTTACGCAATGCTGTGATTCACACTCCTGCCCTGGGATCCTACAGAGAGCCCAGAGCAGGTACAGCATTACTCTGCAGGCAGCAGAGCACCAAGAGGCCCCCAGCACGTATTGGAGCAGGGGCTGAGCAGGGCAGAGCCCACCTGCCAGCTCCCTCTTGGCAGTGGGGTGAGACCCTCACAGAGGTCCCAGGCACCTGGGCGGGCCGGTGTCACCCACCCCGAGGGGCAAGTGTGTAGTGGTAGTGTGGGCACGCCATCCCTCCCCGCTGCTGTTTGCCTTCTCAAGATGATTAACTGAAACCAAACAGCCGGAGGAAACGGCAAACAGAACAAAGGGCAGGAGCCTCTTTTCCAGCTGGCCGGTAACCCAATATTTGCAGAGCCGGCCCAGGCTGCGGGCACGCTGGCAGAAGCCGGGCGGACTTTCACCTCGCAGCGCCGCTGTGCCGATGCGCCGCCCGGGAGCTCCGGGCTGCGTCGGCTCCGGCTTCGGGCGCTCGGGGCGGGGCAGGGCCGGGTGTCCCCGCGGCGCTCGGAGCCCTCCGGCCCCGGCTGCTCCCCGCACGGCGCCCCGGCCCCCGCCCGGCGACGCTAGGTGGCAGCCGGCGGCCAGGAATGCTCCGCTGCGGAGCCGGGAAGCGCCGGGCACGGGCTGAGGAGCTCCGCTCCTCGACAGCCCGCCCCGTGCCGGGAGAGGCCGGGGAGCGGTGCAGCCGGCGGCCAAACGGGCGCTGCTGACAACGCGCCCGCCGGCCCCATTCCTCCGCGTTCGCTCCAGGACCGCCAGGGACGGCGATGGCAGCCCCTGTGCGGCTCGCCGTGCCGCGGGTTGGGACGGCGGGAAGCCAGGCTCGCGGCGCACCGCGGCTCCGCTCGGTGCCGGGCAGGACGTGCCGCGGGGCGCTCCGGCAGCGCTCGGGACCGCGGGGCTCCTGCGGGAGCTGCGGGCGGCTGCCGGCCGGCAGGAAGGGCGGCCAGAACCTCGGTTTGGACAGAAACCAAATGCGGGAAAAACCGCCAATAAATTCCTGCGGACCAAACCCCCGGGCGCTGCTGCTCTGCCTCCGGCCTTCCTTCTGCTCCGCTCGGCTCCGGCCGCTCTCCTGCAGGCCCTGCCGGCGTCTCGCAGCGCCCCGTCGGTTCCTGGCATCAGGCGGACCCTGCAGGGTAACGGCTGCTGGGATCCGGCATACAACTGTCTTCTGCGTGGACTGACTGCGCTGCCCTCCTCCCTGCTCCCAGCAGACCCTGTGAATCTCAGCATTGAGGCCTCATCCTTTCAGTGTTCCTTTGCAAACCTGTTGTCCCTAAACTCATTCTGTCTTTTTTTGGTTCCACCAGCAACAAGCCCTGCAAGCTCAAAACTCTCCATGTAAAGAAGTTATAGTTGTTTTTTTTTTTTCTTTTTTTTTCTTTTTTTTTTTCTCATTCCAGCCCATCTCCTACCAGCACTCCTTACTCCAAGGACTACTGGAGTATTACAATCTCACACTCTGCTTTGTCCACAACTCCCATGATTTTGCAGTCATATCTGCCTTTGGCCTTCCCCTCTCCTAACGGGATGCTCTCGGCCTTTCTAGGCTCCTCTCATCCATCAGGCACTTCATCCCGTCAGTCCACAGCAACCATGGTTTCCTACAGTGTTAAAACTCTCCATCTTCTTCCCTTGCTGATCACACACAGCATTTTGATGATTGTTTTTGGCTGCTCTGCCCATTAACAGTCATCTGAAATCAGATCAATAGTGGCTCCCAGTTCTCCTGAGGCTAACCACCTTTTGACTTGGTGCTTTAAGGGATGTTCTTCAACCATCCTCTGCCGTATATTCAGTTTTAGCTTTTTAGTCTCCAGTTTTCAACTGAGCTGACAGTTCTCATGGGCTTCCCTGTTCTGTCCTAGGCAAGATTTCTCTTTCTGAAACATTGGTATTTTCTGCAGTGCCTCCATTTATCTTTCCAGGAAAGGGTTGTTGAACCACTTCATTTTCCCTTCTGAATGGTGGCATAGTTTTTACCCAAGCTCCTCACACCCTGTGTAACACCCTCTAGGCCATCTCTAGGGCCTCGAGATTGGTGGTTTTTTGGGGGGTAGTGTTCCCGAATTTTACATTACAGAGCTCTCCCTATGCCCCCACACTGTTAAACCCAGCCGTGCTGTGTTTTTTAGTACGGTGCAATTCCCCATGCACCTCTTCAGCCAGATCCCAAGCACTCAAGATCCAGAGCAGATCTTTTCCTGTGGATTACAGACCTGGGAGACATTTACTGCATCCACATTTACTGCAGCCAACCTGTCTGTGGTGGGAGTGCTGTCCATCCCACTTGGCGTGTTCTCTGATCTCACTTTGTGTTTCTACATAACTTCCTGTTCTCATCATGCAATCTCAATTTTACTTTTTTGTTATTAGTCTGGGGTTTTCACTTATGAGGATTCCTTGATGCACTTTTTCCTGTTGCCTTTTATGGTTTCACCCTACATAACCCACCTCCCTTCCGTACCTCTCTGTCACTCCTATGAAGCTGGTAGCAGCTCTCTGCTTTTTCACTCCTCTCTCAGCCTCCTTCTGCCTGATCCCATCCCAGCACATGATGCTGCTGTGTGATACCAAGCTCTCCATTTCCCCTTGTGCATCCAGCACCAATGTGAAAGCATCTGCACTTGTGCCCTGTGTCCTGGACCAGAGAGGGAAGTGACTCATCTGACTGGGGTGGCAGCGGGAGCAAGGTCTCAGGATGGTGGTGGCAAGGCTGGAAGGTGTTTCGACATCCTTGGGTCAGGGTGGCAACCTTCTGCTGGGTCCTTTTACGTGGATGCCCGGCAGTTTGTCTCCAGCCAGAACCATCAACCCAGGCATCTCCGTGCCCAGCAACGTGAGGACATCTGTCCATCCGCCTGCGTGTATCTCTCTGCGCAGGTCATTCCCCTGGGACTACCCCTCCACCCCCCAGCCTGAGTGTCTTCCACAGGCGAGCTGGCGGCGAAGCATCGCTGTTCCCATCGCTGTCCCCATCGCTGTCCCGGCCGCGGCGTGGCCCCAGCCGTGCAGATGGCTCCGGCACCGCGCCGGGTCGCAGCCTCCACCCTCACGTGCGGTGCTTTTTGTGTCCCCCTCTCTGCGTGCCGCCCTCACACCACCCGTCCCTCCCCGCCACCGCCCGCGCCCCCCTCGCAGCCCCCACCAGAGCCAGCCACACACACAAGTGAACTTTTCTGCGTTTTCCAGCAATTAAAAAGAATAAAGCAACAGTTGTCTCCAGGCAGGGCATGGATCCTGGTGACCCTGATTTTCTGTGTGGCTGGGCAGGGTGAATGGGGCTATTGAGACCCCGATGACTGGCATCTCCACTCCAGGATTGTCTCCCCGTCCAAGTCCCCCTCCCCGCGCACTCCTCCTCCCCACCTCCTCCCCGCTTTTAATTTCCTTCCTGGAGAGAGCTGCTCATCCCCTTCCCATTGGCCAAGGGCCTGAAAGGGAATGGAGGAGACAAGGGAAGGATTAAAGACACTCTGCTTAGGAGCAGGCAGCCTGAATACGAGATGCACCGGCTGGGAAAGAATGGGGGCTTAGTGGGGCACCAGATCAGACCCGCCCCGCCGCATTCAGCCCGCTGCATTCCTGCATCTCAAAGCAGGGTCCTTTCTCCCTAGCCAGCCCAAGGAGACCACCGGCCCCCGCCCTACCTGCCCTGCAGGTAAGCCTTGCCCCACCCGACTACCAGGCCCCGTCCCACTGGGCCACCTTCAAGTGAAGGTGCCCAAGACCAAGCTGAATGGGGCCCTGGGCAGCCTGACCTGGTGGGGGGCATCCAGCCCATGGCAGGGGTGGTGCTGAGAGGGCTTTCAGGACCCTTCCAAACCAACCATGCTGTGATTCTGTCATTCTCCTGCACTGTGCCACCCATGTGTGGGTGATGAAGGACTTGTGTCAGGCAAAGAGCAGAGAGCAGCAGCTCCATGCAAGTCACCTGGTCAGAGAGTTCAGGACTGGTGCATGCTGCTTTTGCCCAAGGCTGATGCACTGATGGCAAAGCTGCAGCAGTACGTCCTGCTCTGTGTTGCCACTGGGCTGGATTGCTGCTTCGTGCCTGTATACAGAGATTTCCAACAGAAGGGGTGGAAACACTCCTCTCCTCTGTTAATTGGCAGTTTGAGGCTGACACTTTCTGTTTGGAGCTGTTTCCTTCGCAGGATGGGGGAGGCTGTTCTTGGAATCCTCTCGAGGTCCCTGCTGGCGTTCATCCCAGAGAGCTCTGTTTCCTGGGGGAACACATCCCTGGTGGAGCCCAGCAAGAGTTTTCCAGGCCAAGAATCTGGAGGCCTGCAGTGCAGGGCAGGGACATGGTGGGTCAGCAAAGCCCAACAGCCCTAAAGCATCTGCTCTGAAAGCATGCGGGGATCCCATGCTGTTAGGAGCACCCTGGGAGCCCAGGTTCCCATGCAAGGACACAGTTTGCTGTGCTACACACACAGATTTGTGGCCTTTCACTGTGAGGACAGTCCCATGTCCCATGTCTCTTACAGAAGCTGGTGCCATTCTCTGTTCTCTGTTTTCTGAGGGCTGTCCCACCTGTCACCACCTCCCATCCCAGATCTCTTGCTGGCCTATGCCATCGGACAGCCCCACCTCAGTCCCCCGTGCAGCCCAGAGCCAAGCAGTGCTGTGATGGGCAGCATGGAGCCCTGGTGACCCATGTAACTACAGCTGCAGGACCCATGGTGGAACATGGCCCAGTCCGTGGAGAAGGCACATCATTATGATCTCAGTCGCCTTCCAGACTCTTGCCTGTATTGATGCAAGCACTGAACTATGGACAGCTTGTTTCTCTTGAGGTGTCCTAGTGTGCACATGACATCCATGGAAGGAAATGGGATGTCCTCTATAACCTGGGCAGAGATGATCTGGGACATGACAGGATACCTCAGGAGCAGAAGTAGCTCAGGTGTGAGCACCTCCATCACTCCCTGTCCTCATGACCATGAGGAAGATCGAGTACCACCTCAGATGGCCTCCCCAGGACTTGGGTTAGAGATTCATGGGCCTTGAGGTTCCGTTTCAACCCTGGCCATTCTGTGATTCTGTGAGCTGAATCCCACGCTGCTGACCAAGCTGCATTGGCTGTGCTTGATGATTGCTGCCACCCTGTAAACACACTTTTCAATGTTACCAATAGCCCCAGCTGCTGGAGCCTTAGGACTCCATCACAAACTAGAGCT